GGTTCCCCACTCATCAACTCCATCTGGAATGCAAAGTATTAACAGTTCGACAGTTATTTAAATTGCACATCATACTAAAACAACATGCGGAACAACCATTTAATCCTAGGTGCTTAGACAAGAGAAGGAACGACATTGTATGTGTCAAACCCAAAACAAAGGAACTTATCCTTTGTTATCCTTTGTTTGTTTTTAACATTAACAAATAATAATAATCTTTATTTATGCAAAAATTTGTTCACAACATATTATTATACACAAATTCCATGAGTACTTAGCTATTAAAACTAAATATTGCTGGCAGCCACACTAGGATTTCCTGTGTCGTGGGGTCCAGTCCCTTCCGTAAGTTTAAAAATAGTACTAAAACTGTAATGCATTTATTGTGTATGTTGTGCAGTTCTTATTTTCTAGTCACATGTAGAAAATTGTGTGAATGTGTGTATGCGTGTGCGTGTGAGTGTGTGTGGGTGTTTATACGTGTAAGATGGTGCGCGCGTGTAAGTTACCATTTGTCATATCACCCCGGTTTGAGAACACCTCCCTAACTGCCTGAGCCAGCTATAGCCATACTAGGCATCGACATACTACTCTGTCAAGAAAGTACCGGGAAAAGATCAATACACAAAATGTTTGTTATTCATCCAAATTTATTTTATCACCTTGAAAGTATGCTCCTTCAGAAACGATACACTTACGCCAACGAATAATCCAATCATTAAAACATTTTTTAAACGCTGTTTTTCGGAATTGAGTTCAGTTCTTGCCGCGAATTCTTCTTTATGTCTTCTACCGATTGAAAACGGGTGCCACGAAGTGGTAATTTGAGTTTAGGAAAAAGAAAGAAGTCGGCTGGAGCCATATCTGGTGAATATGATGGTTGTTCGATGGTATTTGTTGAGTGTTACGTCAAACATTCGTTCAAAACGATGGCCTTGTGCGACGATGACTTGTTCCCCCGACATTCATAAGTCGTGTGGGCCCGATGGAATTTCTCCTATCGTGTTGAAAACGTGTGCTCCGGAGTTGGCACCGGTTTTAACGCGCCTTTTTCGTCTCTCCTACTCCTAAGGCCTCGTCCCGAACTCCTGGAAGGTGGCAAGGCGGCAACGGTCCTGGCGCGATATCCACCCTTCGACATTCTGGCCGACATGGACGCGATTGTCTATGACCAAGTTTGCTCTGTCGGTCGGAATGGTGGAGGAGGAGGAGGAGGCCGCACCGGAACATGAGCCCGGAATGCTACGGCGGAACGCGCATACGCAGGCTCTGCGGGCGTGGCAGGCACGGCTCGAAATCCAGGGCTGTGCTAACCATGCACCCTCGGAGCCGTTTTCCCGAGCTTCGAAGCGTGGGTAGGGTGGAACGACGGTGTCACCTACTGATTGACACAGATGCTTACCAGGCACGGTTGATTCGGTGAGTATCTGAATCGAATTGGACGGGAGGTTACGGCACAATGCCACTATTGTGGGTCCGACCGGGATTTCGCCCAGCAGGAGTCCGAACGTCAAGTCTTAGTCGGACAGATCGGACGAAATCTGTCATCGCCAGCATTGATCGCGGCAATGCTGACAAGTGGCGAGGGATGGGCAGCCGCGGTCTCCTTCTGCGAAGACAATATGCTCAAGTAGGAGGCCGCAGAGCGGGATCGGCAGAGGGTCGATCCCGCTCGAAGGAGGCAATAAAGGGTATTAAACGTTGGTAGATCGCAACAGACTGCCTGTCAATTTTATTAAAAGGTTCAATGACAAATACTCGTATGGTTACACTTTTATGACAACAGATGGCGTTAGTAGTAATTTAAAACTAAATATATTTTTAATAAAAACATTATCATACTAACAAAGGGGAGATAGCTGGACCTCAACCTAAGATCGCGACAAAGACAGGGGCGGAATTCGTTCCGCTCCCCACTCAACATCGGTCCCCTCTACGTCTGCCCCCTCTAACAATGGGCGGCAAGTAGTTGGGAGACCAAGAGGCCCCGGAAGCGGGGCAAGAAAGCTGCTCAAAAAGCAGCCTCTACCCCGCAGTAGCCGTCAGTGCAGTGGCCAAGAAGAGGCAGCCTCGCAAGCTGCAGCCACCTAAAACCGCGGCTGTGGTGGTACCGTGTCACCGGAGGCGGTTAAAGGCGGGCTGTCCTACGCGGTCGTTTTTAAGAGGGCCCGATATAGTCTCGCCCATGATTTCGGTGCAGTTGGGGTCAGGATGCGCCTCGCCTAAACGGGAACTCGAGTTTTGGAGTTCCCTAGGGCTAAAGGCGCAAAGACGGCGGATACGTTTGCCGAGAAGCTGCGGGGAATATTCGCAGCTACGGATGGTGTTAAGATCGCCAGGCCTACCAAATGCGGGGAGATGCGCATCTCAGGCCTGGACGATTCTGCAGAGGCAGAGGATATCCGCGGTGTAATACGAAAGAAGACAGGCTGCAGCGCCGACAACATCAGGGTCGGCACCATCCGTCCTGGTCCAGGGGGTTTTGGTACGGTGTGGGTCAGTTGTCCCGTAGCGTCGGCCGCAGTTTTGGGTGACGCCGGCAAGATCCTCATCGGTTTCGTGAACGTCAGAGTCGCAGCGTGGAACACCGTGTGGTTTTAGTCGGTCCGTTTCCGACATACCACTCCGCCGCAAACGCCGGTGGGATGACGGCCCGAGGGGGTTTCCACACGTAAAAAAAAAGGCAGGCAGCGACTAAAGTTTTGAACTAAATCTTAATACCTTTTTGTGTAAAAAATCATACGATACGAATCATACAATCATAAGAATAAAATAACACTACTTTAATTAATTATACACTAGTGTAACTTAGACTAATTATTGTCTAACATCTATTTTAAACCGAAATTTCCTTACTGTATTTTTTTTATTATGGTCCAAAAATTAAATGTGACAACATACATGCGAGAAACTTACATAATAATACACTTTATGTGCCCACCCTAGGGTAGTGAACACATCATGCTTAAGTGACGGAATACAATATTAAAATAATAACAAAATATTTAAATAATACCTTAATAATAACAAAAAATAAATTAAAAAAAAAACCGGTCAGGTACATTTCCAACTTTTTTATTTCAAATCAAATCAAATCATTTATTTGTGATACATGGGTTACATACAGGTGTTCATTACATAATTATTAATGATGTTCATTCCATTAGGGCATACAAATTATTAAGCAATATATTGATTAATATTTAAAATTATAGTATTTAAAAAATATGTATATATATTAAAATTCTGATTATTTGATAAAAAAAATCATTAAAGATTATATATAAATTCTATTATTACTGTAGGTCATGACATACGCAAGAAATTCAACAACAATCAACGCCAACATTAAACTTGGACATGAAACATTTAAAAAAATCGAGTCTATAAAAATTCATCAACAGAGTAATAGCATTTTTCTGTGAGAAATTGGAACAATTCATTTTTAAAGACATAGATGTTGCCACATTCTTTTGTATTGTTAGGAATCTTATTGTAGATCTTTGTGGACATAGCAAACACACTTTTCCCAAAGAGGGTAGTTCTATAGTGACAGGTAAGGTTATTATACAAGTGACTTCTATTTCGCGATTTAAGCTCTAATGTAAACAGTGACGGATTATGTCTAATAAACAATGCCATTTGAAAAATATACAATGATGGTACTGTAAGTATTTTTAATTTTTTTAAATAATTCTTGCAGCTGTCAGTTCTTTTAAGACTGCACATAGCTCGCACGCACCTTTTTTGACATTTAAAAACTCTATCCCAGTTGGTTGTATTTCCCCAGAATATGATTGCATATCTAAGTCTAGAAGCAACATTACTATGATAAGCTACGAGTAATGAGTTAAGATTGACCTTTTTTGCTAGCATGTATAGACTATAAGATGACTGTGACACTATTTTACAAACGAAATCAATATGACTTTGCCATTTCAAATTGTCATCTATGTGTACACCGAGAAATTTTGTTGTAGTCGTCAATTCAACTTTTTCACCATTAAATTCTATTAGAGTATGTAAAGTGTTTTTTTGTTTTTTGTTTAAATTGCATTAATTTAGTTTTATCGATGTTAATTAATAAATTTTTATTTTGAAGCCATTGAATTATTGAATTTAAACTATTATTTATAATATTTTCATCATAGTATATAACAGTACAGTCATCAGCAAATAGTACCATACGATCTGTAGTAGATTTTGGCAGGTCATTGATATAGATAAGAAAGAGCAGGGAGCCCCGAACACTACCTTGTGGAACTCCATATTTTATTCTTCTACTCTTGGACTTATAATTTATTTCATATTTAGTTTTAGGACAGATTTTGACAATGCTTGTGATCTGAGTTTTATTACTAATGTAAGACTTTAGTAAGTCCAAAGTGTTGCCCCTAACACCATACGTTTCAAGCTTACTCAGTAGTATACTATGGTCCACGTAGTCGAAGGCCTTTGACATATCCATATACAAAGCATAGACAGGTTGTCTTTTATCAACTCTCTCCCTTCCCCTTGGATCGCGAAAGCGTCAGGACGTGTTCACTGTGTTACTATTGTAATTATATATAAATTAAAATAAAAGTAAAATTCGTTTTACCATAATATAACTACTAAAATAAATCTGCGAGGTACCAGGGCGCAAGAAAGGATCAAGAGCTCACTGTAAAGACGACAGCTTGCAGTGCCACAACAAACAACGAAATACAGTCTTAGTGTGAGTAATCCTTTCTATAATACATCGAGAGGTCTCCATACACTGGACGGACGTCAAATTGGTTCTAAAACGCCGCTCGGTGACCAAAACTATAGATCCCCGCTAGGCACGCGCTTCTCAATCAAAAGTGTGAATAAGATAGCTAACAACTACGTTTATACGAACGCACGAATGGAGTGATAAGGACGACTATAGGCACACGTTCATCTGTGTATCACACCGTAATACTCCCGCGCTTCGCTGATAAGTAAAGTGATTTTATCGAAAACTAGTTGTAATCATCATGTCTACTCAACGAACTCCACCTGAAAGTTCATTACTGAAGCCGAATATTTTAACACAAGAGTCTGATACGGCATCTGACTATGTCGGCTCTGACCCTGACTGCAGAGGACAAATAAACATTACGCGTCGTTTTAAGCGTAAATTTGATGATTCCACATTAACTGACATAAAAGAGATGTTAGCAAATGTACAGCAACAACAAATAGCCCAAGCTTCGAAGTTAGATACAGAAATGAATAAAATGATTAAACAAAATACGGATATTAAAACTTCTATTGAGACCATGTCGGATAAATACGACGAAATCTTGCAAGAACTTAAGCAAACGAAGGCCGAAAACACCGCGATCAAAAAGCAAATGAAACTATTTGAACAAAAGATCGAGTTGCTTGAACGAAATGCTAAAGCGTCAACTTTGGAACTCAGAAATATACCAGAACAACAGTCTGAAAATAAATCAACACTAGTCAGCTTGGTGAAAAATATTGGTGACGTTCTGGGGGTTGGGGTGCGGAAAACCGATATACGAAACATATTTAGGCCGAAAATGTCACAAAATAAAATAGCTCCAGTAATAGTGGAATTTTCAGCGACTACACTTAAAGAAAATATGTTGAAAACCTCGAAAACTTTCAATAAGGAGAACAAAGAGAAACTGAATACTGGCCATCTGAAGTTAGCCGGCGAATCTAAACCTATTTTTGTTTCGGAGTCTCTCACTTCAAATGGAAGGCGTTTATATTTCCTAGCACGTCAATCTGTCAAAAACAATAAATACGCAGGCTGCTGGACTTCGTATGGAAGGGTATATATTCGACAAAAAGAAGGTGGCCCATCAAAATTGATCTCCTGTGAAGCAGATTTAACAACACTAAGGGCACAATGACTCATATCCATATACTATTTAGTGAAGTCAAGATATATAATTTTAAAAACTAAATATCACGATATTACTGTAGGCTACAAATGTATTTACCATTATCTTTATGTTATTTTAATAGTGCACTTGCATTTGTCTGTCTACACTCTCAACCTACCAATACACTATACCCTCAAAGCATATTTGCAGACTCATACAATAAACACATACACATTCTACACTACAACACATACCTATGTTATATTACCCGGTAAAAAATATATTTATTATATAAAAAATCTATCAATGCACGGATACATAAAATACATAAACATTAAACAAAAACCTCCAATATTCCCTTATCTCATAACAATTGTATACCTGCGCTACATACTTTCTTCCCATCACATGCAATGGAGTAAATTAGTCTTAATCTACTTCGTCTTTTCTACTGTCCACATAGAACGAATGCGGCTCTTACCTTACTACGAAATTAAAACAAATATTTTTATGCGTACTCTAGTAGTAATAAATTATACGTAACATTCGACACCACAAATAATCTAATACAAAATATTGACGAATTTAATATTTCTGTCCCTATTTCTTGTGAACCGGAAGAGTGCATCTCAAATGCACAAAAAATTAAAATCAGATAAAACCAATGAAATATTGAAAATATCGTACATAAGGTATCGAAACTATTGCAATAATTTATTAAAAAAACTGAAAAAACAGTACGAGAGAGATCAACTAATATTGTCTAAAAATAATGCAAAAAAGCTTTGGTCCGCCGTTAAAACAATTACTAACAGTAGTAACAAAAATCAACAGCCACAACATCTTTTAACAATCGCTGACAATCCTAAAGAAGCGGTTTGCAAAACAAATGAATATTTCTCTAGTATCGGTGAACGTCTAGCGGATACCATTGTGCGCGCTCGCTTTCCCAATTTAAAAAAGTAATTAAGCCCCCTGCAAAATCTTTTACTCTTCTACCAACCGACGACGGAGAAGTTGAGAGAATAATTCAGCAGCTAAGAAGTGATTGCGCACCAGGTTGGGATCAGATCAGTGCCGAAAGTCTCAAAATTACATCCAATGCAATAACACCTGTTCTAACTGATTTGATAAACCGCTGTCTAGAGGCTGGGGTTTTTCCGGATGCATTGAAAAGAGCTGTAGTGCTTCCTATACACAAGGCGGGTGATAGGTGCAGTGTTAGTAACTATAGACCTATTGCAATCTTAACTACATTATCGAAGCTATTTGAGCGCATTATTAACACTCGGCTTATTAAATACCTAGAAGACGGCAATCTACTTTCGAACTCGCAATATGGGTTTAGGTTAGGCCGCTCAACCAACAATGCTGTACTTGACCTTGTCAACTTTCTGGTATCTAAACTAGATAATAAAAAGAAATGCTTGACTATATTTCTCGACCTTGCAAAGGCCTTTGACACTGTTTCTGTCCCCTGCCTTGTGGAGACACTGGAGGCTCATGGCATAAGAGGCATCCCACTGGCATTGTTGTCCAATTATCTACATAATAGAACCCAATGCGTGAAAATCGGTGACAACATTAGTGACGAATTGCCAATTGCATTTGGGGTGCCGCAAGGTAGTATTCTCGGCCCAACACTCTTTATCTGCTATATCAATGAGCTCTGCTTACTTAACATTAAAAACTGCCGCATCTCGGCTTATGCAGATGACACAGCTCTTACCTTTTACGCAGATTCATGGAATGAACTTTTTAATCTTGCACAGGAAGGATTTAACACGATTTGTCACTGGCTAATAGTTCACTCTCTTACCTTAAATGAAGATAAGACCAAATTCATTGTGTTCTCTATCCAAAACCGAAGGGAAATAGCCGATCTTACCAATAATATATATGTGCATAAATGTAATTCTCCTCCTACTCCAAACTGTACATGCACCAAAATTACCCCTACAAAATGTATTAGGTACCTGGGAATCGAAGTTGACGCTAATTTAAATTTCGAAAACCACATACAAACACTGTCCAATAGAATACGAAAACTAACATATATATTTAAAGCACTACGCGGCGTAGCTGATAAGCGGACTGTAAGGTTGGTATACGAGGCCCTAGTGCAGTCTATACTATCCTACTGCATCACTACCTGGGGAGGAGCTTGTAAAACCAAAATGATAACCCTCGAAAGAGCTCAAAGGATGATACTGAAAGTAAGCCTATCAAAACCTCGGCTATTTCCAACTTCTAAGCTTTACGACGAAGCACAGGTCCTCACTGTACGCCAACTTTATATAATGCTATCTGTGCTTCATAAACATACTTACTTGTCGGAAGACAGAAGAAAGTACATAGCTCAGACTAGAAGAAACTATGCAGTATGTGAGCTTACTACCGTAAATACCTCATTTGCACAAAGGTTTTTATCATACCGAGGAGGTATGCTATATAACAAAGTAAACAAAATAATTCCCTTGTCCAACTCTTGTAAAACCGAATGCAAAAATATAATTCAAAAATGGTTACTGAAGCTTAGTTACTCGGAAACAGAAAAAATCTTAGATGTAAGAATATAGATTGATATGTTCATTACGTGTACGTATGAGTTTGTATATGTATACTTATGCATATGTTACACTCCTGACATTAAACTTTGTATATCACTATAGGTATTACTTAATTTATAATACATTTATTTATGCTTATTATTTATACACCTATCTACATACCACGGACGAAAATTTAAGCAAAATTGATACTCTAAAAAAAAAAAAAAAAAAAAAAGAAAAGTACAAGTCCTAACCATCCTCGCACACACGCTACACACACACACACACACACACACACACACACACACACCCACACACCAGACGCCCATACACACACACACACACGCCCTCACAGCGCAACCATTCGTATATATATTTTTAATGCAAAATCTTTTTACTGTTTACTCATTCACACACTCTAGTACGCTTTTGACATGTTGACAAATCTGCTAAGTGTTATGTAATGGGGGGCCTGGAGATCTATAGTACAGGCCTCGGCTTAGTTTAGACTCCAGATCTCCCACAAATTGCAAATTTCTTGACAGTTTTCCTGTCAACTGTTAAATATAAAACAAAATGTAATTTGTGGAGATGAAATAAACATTTTTATTATTATTATTATTATAACTCTAGGATGTACTAAACTACTACTAAGAAATCATAATGAAATGAAATGAAATGAAATGAAATGAAATGAAATGAAATTTAAAGAATGAAATGATTAAGGAATTGGTATTAAAAAAAGTCGGGATTTTTAAGATATAACATGATTTTAATTTTCAGAAATAACTACAGTTTTTTTTCTTATTCATCATTTTATTGTTATTCTCACATACAATATCAAGTTATATGTAGTTGTTAGGTATTTTATGATCATACATCATTTGTGTCATACACAATTAGTACATCATCCAGGAATTGAGCCGGAGGAAAAATATTTGTTTGATGTCGTGCCCAACCCAAATACCATATTACTGTCATTATATGGGCACAACATCCTACCGTTCGACGGCCAACAATACAGTTACAACAATACTTTTTAATTGTACTTCTGCCAGAATCATTGCCACTAATAAAAATATATATAAAATATATTATTCGACTGATGTGTCGACTTGCGATTCTAGCCCTAGGTAAAGAGCAGTTAGGACTAAGGTGTATTCCTTCCATAATGCTGCTCCTATGGTCATTGCATATTTCTATGTGGTAGCAACCATTAGCTCTTATATGCTCACCATAATAGGAGCGAGCTTGCTTTAATTGGTATGTACCACAAGCAATTAGTACTAAGTCGCTGTAAGTTAAAATAGGAAATTCCCTAACATTTTCGGAGCCTACGTTTATATTTCTAAAGTCTGCCCTAGCTCTATTAAAATAAATAAATAAATAATATTAGCACTAACATAATGAAATCATAATGATTACCGAAAATCGAATAATATAGCTATAAAATAATGGCTGTGTTTGGCAGAAAATAGCGCTAGAAAGCGCTTATGAGCGCTTACTAGCGCTGACACAGTTTTCGGCCAGGACACGTTTGCTAACTTCAGTAGCGCTGACACAAACCGCCATTTTGCTTATTTATTGTGTTTGTTTTAAAAGTAGAATTTATAAGATGTTTTGTACAATTAGTTTCAAGTAATATTAAAATAAATAATAATGTCAGTCCAAAAAATAGTAAAATTAGTAATTGGGAACTCTTAATATTTTGTCAGAAACCAATGAAATACGGATAAACGTAATTTCACTTTTATCTTTTCGGTACTTTTATTTTCTGTTTAAATGTTGCAGACCTGTCAGGATAAATGAATACCCCAATTAATAAATAGAAAATAAGATGGTTTTTTCTAACAAAAGCAAATTGTTGGGCGTTTCATGGCCGAAAATGGGCATTCCCCTTTATGGACATATTTTTAAGAAAACCTTTCTGATCCGGCGTAAAGATATTATTCCTTTCAAAATAGTCATACAAGTTATTGTATATGGCTTTTTCAATTATTTTAGAAAATATTGGAGTCAGGGCTATAGGCCTGTAATTTTTTATATCTGATTTATCATCCTTTTTATGGAGCGGTTTAATTATAGTGGTTTTTAAGACAGATGGAAATATTCCCTGTTCGAAGCACATATTTATGATACAGCTTAGAATAGGTGCAATCATATGAGACAAGGATTTTATTACCAAATCACATATGTCATCAAAACCGGTGCTCTTAGTGTTATTTCATTTTTTTACAATATTGTGAATTTCCATAGGACTAGTCTGATTCAGAAAGAATGATTTCGGTGTATTATACGTGCATGTAGAGATTATTGGGATATTATTACCGTTACTGCTAGTCTCAGGTTTGACTATATCTGCATAGTAGTCATTCAACAATTCAGCGATTCGTTGAGGGTCCATAATTTTATGTTTGTCTATTACCAATTCACTTATAGTCTCAGGGGGAACATTCTGTTTTTTGCCATTAATTATGTTCCAGGTGGCTTTCGATTTATTTTTTGAATTTAGAATGTAATAATTATTCTGAGATTTTTGAGTTAATTTAATAATTTTGGAATATGTCAGTGAATATTTTTTAAAATTCGATTTATCTACGCTACTTTTTGATAGTCTTTATTTCCAAAGAAGAGAACGTTTACGCCTACTACATTCCTTAATACCACGTGACATCCATTTTGGTACAATGGTTGTTTTATTTTTAATTTTAAGTATGGGAAAGCACATTTCGTAAAATAGTCTAAATGTATCATAAAATAAGTTAAAAGCATCATTTGCATTCTTTGACTCAAACACTTCAGTAAATTTTAACTCTTTAATGCACTCTTTAAATTTTCCTAAATTGTCTTTAGAATAATCGCGTTTAAATGTAAACCAGTGGTCAAATGTACAGGTCTTTTTGACTGGACATGAAATATACTGCGCCTTATGATCAGATAAACTAAGTTCCAAGACAATTGATTTGGCACCACGAATATTATGGAAAATATTATCAATGCAGGAAAGAAAATATTGGTCTTGTAGGCTCATTAATTGCTTGTGTTAGATTAAATCCCGTTGTTAGTTGTTCCAACTCTAATGTGTACTTATTCTTTTTAACATATCGATGTTAAAATCACCACAAACAACGATCTTGTTATTTCCATATTTTGTGAGGAGACATAAAATGTCATTAAAATTATTAAAAAACAAATTAATATATTTACTATAGCCATTACTCTTTGGTACCCTATAGAGGCATAAAATTATCATATTGTGGTCAACTAATTTAATTGCAGAGCATTCAATCACATTAGAGATACTATATTTTTGAACAGCTTCAAGTACGACAAAGTTAAAATAGTGTCTCACTAGAATGCACGTTCCCCCTCGTCGCTTGTTTCGTGAAAAATGGGTAGCTAAAATGAAATTCGGAATTTCGAGGAGTTCAATATCATCACTTGTCATATTATGCTCAGAAAAGCATAAAACGTCAATATTTCAACCTATATCTGCTAGGTCATTAAGGCAGACAGTAAACAAATCAGACTTCGATATAAGGCCACAAATGTTTTGGTGAATTATATTTAAATGGTTATAAACGAAAAAAATTGTTGCGTTTTGAAACAGATTTGACAGAACCTATTTTCTTAGAAGTGGAGTCATAACATGTAGCAACATTAATGTCACATTCAGAACTTTTAGTAGAAAATTTGGCATCACAATTATTATAGACAGTACATGGCAATGTCAATTGGTTATTATTATTAATATTACAATATATCTTATTATGATCATTATTATCAGCATTAGTCAAGAGTAAATTACATTTTGAATTGTAGTACAATCGTAATATGTCCCTTAATATATACCGACATATGTAAGTCGGGAAATGGTTTTTTTTTTGTATTTTTATGGCTTGGTAACAAGACCTTTAAGCCAAGTCTTAATTTTTGATAGATAACTTCACTATTTTCACTTCACTTCAATGTTTAATCTCAATCAAAAGCGCATTTGACAGATGTCAAAGATTTCCACATGTATTTTTTATGAAATTGTAAATTGGTTTGAAGCAGTCCACATTTTTTAATAAAGCACTAAGGCGGCGGGAGGGATCGATTGTTGTCAAAAAAACTTTCACTTCATTAAGTTCACTGGCAAGGATTAAACGGTCTAAGGAATACGCTGGACACGAGAAGATCATATGATCTACATCACCGACACTACCACAGTTGATACATTTGTCATCTTCAATTATTCCAAGTCTGGATAAATGCGCAGGAGTCTTAGAATGACCAAAATGAAGTCGATTGATTGTGGTGATAAAGTCACGGCTGGCACTTGGTAAACAATAAAACCAAGGCTTGTGAGCTTTCTAAAGATTTAATTAAACTTAAGGAGTCAGTAAAAATTACAAATTTTTGTTGATCATTTACAAACGAAATGATCTTAACTGCCTCTAAAACTGCATAAGCCTCTGCAGTAAATATACTACAATTACTATTCAGAACAAAACTTTGAACGAATTTAGTCTGAGGGTTATAAACAGCACTACGAACATAATTTTCCCCTTTACTACCATCAGTATAGAGTGTGTAGAAATCTCTATTTTCACTTAAAAATTCTAACATATCCTGATTATTATTAATATGGGGGTGGAATGGGTTATTATTGGGATTTGATACAGCAAACAATCATAAGAATAAGAGTAACATGGCCAAGGAGATATTGCATATATTGATGGGAAGTTTTTCATCATTTCCAGTAGTATGCGGGTCAACTCGGGAAACTGCCCATTGAGAAGATCAGCCCCTGATGTCAAGGGATCATTGCAGACTAACTCGCAAGGTACAATTCTTTTGATTATATGTAGGTTATTTGAAGCTAATAACTTAATACTATATCTTTCTGCAAGAAATAACCTTCTCAATGTTAGAGGAATGATATTTGTTTCAACCTCCATTGCTCTGATGGGAGTTGAGCACATAGCTCCTGAAATGATCCTCAAAGCCTTGTTCTGAATAATGTCTAATTTATGTACATACCTACTATCTAAGTAAGATAAGCAACTATAATCAAAATGACTTCTAACTATAGCTTTATAAAGAATAGATAGTATCTTTGGGTTTGACCCCCAAGATACCCCTGCTAGACACCTCATAATGTTTAGACCTTTAATAGAGTTTTGAGAGATGTATTTAATGTGCTTCTCAAAAGATAAGTTATTTTCAATAACTATTCCTAGAAATTTATGATGGCTCACTTGAGGAATAACTTCATTATCAAATATATGTTGGGTATTTGGGGAGTCCTTACTAAAAATCATAGCACTACTTTTAGATGGATTAATATGTAGAGATTGTCACAGTCAGCGGTTACATGAATCAAACAAGAGGTATAGACAGAGACTGCTTTATTCCGTTCTCCCTATCGGTCGCCTCCAATCTACATTCTTGCCTACCCACATTATAAATATATATTATGACATCTCCCTTCTCAAAAAAAAAAAACTTAAATTATTACATATTAAAATTAACATAATGATAAGTATGATAATTTATTGATATCTGATACATGAAGCTGAAATATTACCAGAATATTTTAGTATGTATTCGAAATGCAATTGAAAACAATTATTCACAATATAACTAGGACTAAGGCAATTATAAACAATTTAGAAAATTATAACGTAGATTCAAGAATTACAATTAATCACAAAAAAAATCATAGAATATTTTGATCACCATTCAATATAATACAACATTTATTTCCTACAAAACCGAGAATTACCATTACAATTCATTAATAAATACCTGAATTTTTATTTATTAGATTAAATAGCTAATAAACAGAAATTTGTTAGGTTACATATATACTATTTTAAGAAAAGGTCTTGTTTTTGAACATTCATAAAAATTAAGTACAGAGGTACTTTAAATTCTTACTTAAGTACATTTTGTACATTTAAATACAAAATTGTTGTTGTTCACACTCACAACACTCGTTAACATAATTTATTATCTAAGAATTAATTTATTAACTTTTCATATTTTTGATTAATTATAAATAATTTATTAATTATATATTAATTTATGAACATTTATTTTGTTATTATCTATCTATGAACTTTCCATAAAACAATGTGAAACTTGGAACATTGTTTTATATAATTAATTGAAATTAATAGTAAAATATAAAGATTAAATAAATATTATATTATCATCAAGATTGTTACATCTATTAAGGTAACATGCAGTATATTTATAATAAATAAAAACAAAAAGAAAACTTTAATTCCTTTATGGTATCAGTTCACTTCTGTGGTTATGTATAGCCCCATCTATTCGGAGGTCTCACCGTCCTGCCAGAACGAGTAACATATAAGTCGGATGATGTACAGGTATTATTAACATTAGTATATTGACATGGATACATAATATGATCGTAATAAAAGTTGTACTCTTGAGGAGGATTCTGTGCAGGTGAGAGGTCCTTTATGATATGCCGTCTATTCCTCACTATTACTTTTCCATTAATCAGACGTATTCTATAAGACCTATTGCCTAAGTTAGTCAATATTGTGCCTGAAACCCAAATATTTTTTATAGAATCATAGATCCTAACTTTTTGATTAGTACTCAATGGAATCAAATTTCTAGAACCTTTGTCATAGTACATTTTTTATTTTTGCTGCCTAACTCTCAATTTCTGTTGCGTACTTACATGAGATTTAGAATTAAATAATTTAACAGGCGTTGGAACAATACTTCTAAACTTTCTACTCTGAAGCAGTTCTGCTGGTGAGGGTATGATATTGCTAACTGGTGTATTTAAGCATTCTAACAACCCAAGTCGATAATCAGAATTATCTTCTAAAGATTTTTTTAAAATATTTTTAACAGTCTGCACACTGCGCTCAATTTGGCCATTCGATTGATGGTAGTACGGGGATGATGTCTCATGAGTAAAGTTCCATTCATGTGCAAATTGTCTAAACTCTGAGGCTGTAAACTGAGGACCGCAGTCAGACATGACTGTATTCGGTATTCCTTGACGGCTGAATATGTCTTTTAGGCTATTAACTACACTGTAAGCCGTCCTTCTATGTAATTTAACTAATTCAAAAAAATTACTATAATAATCGATTAATAATAAGTAATTCTCACCTTTAAATTGAAATAAATCTACTCCTACTTTGAACCATGACCTGTTTGGAACTTCATGACACATTAACTCCTCCTTCTGATTATTCTTTCTATGTGTTAAACATATACTGCAAGTTTGAATAATGTTTTCTATGTCATTATTTATACCAGGCCAGAATATCAATTCTCTCGCTCTAAGCTTGCACTTTTCTATGCCCATGTGACCTATATGAATTCTTTTTAAAATATCTTTCCTCATACTTTTAGGAATAACAATCCTATCCGATTTCCAAATCATGCCATACGATACCGTTAAATCCTGCCTAAAATTCCAATATGGTTTAATTATATCTGATAATTCTCGTTTATTGCAAGGCCAGCCTTTCAATTTTTTTAATTCTATCATCTCTTCGTCTAACTCTAATTGCTTTTGAATATTTATGAACTGTGAATCCGTAAAATATTCACACTTATTTTTCGTACTGTCACTAATCAATAAACAAACTTCATCTGCCGCACTAACAATGTTATTAGAGATCTGTTTCTCGCCGCCACTCACCGGTGACTCATGCTCATACGCACGCGATAGTGCGTCGGCTATATATAAGTATTTACCTGGCTTGTAGATTAAAGTAAACGAATAACGCTGCAATCTTAATAACATTCGCAGCAATCGAGCCGGAGCGTCAACAATTGGTTTTTTAATGATACTAATCAATGGTTTATGGTCCGTTTCTATTGTTACATCTGATCTTCCAAAAATATATACATAAAATCGCTCACAAGCAAATACACAGGAGTACAATTCTTTTTCAATCTGAGCATATCTTTGCTCAGTTTTAGTTAACGCTTTCGAAGCGTAACACACAGGATGGCCATTTTGTAATAGACACGCCCCTAGGCCTGTACTGCTCGAGTCTACTGATATTACAATAGGTACATTCATGTTATAGTACTGTAAAACTGGGCGTTTAATTAAACATAATTTAAGGTAATTAAAACACTCATAATGCCTCTCATTCCAATGCCACTCAATCTCTTTTTTAAGTAACTCCCGCAGTGGTAAAGTTTTATCCGATAAATTTGGAATAAACGAACCCACGTAGGTGATCAAGCCCAAGAAACGCTCAACATCTTTTTTATTTTTAGGTACTGGCATGTTTTGTATAGCAGATAAATGAGAATCATCAGGACCAAGCCCATCTTTAGTTATACGATGTCCCAAGTATTTGATTTCCTGTAAACCAAACTTGCATTTGTTTCTATTTAATTTTAAATTTATTTTTCTACATCTTTCTAGTACATTATGTAATATTTGGTCGTGTTTAATCTTACTTGGAGCATAAATTAATAAATCATCAATATACATACACACACACTCAATATCATCAAAATTTTCAAATATTTTTTTATGAAAAACTTCAGATGCAGAACAAATACCAAAAGGGAGCCTTAAAAATTTGTATCTACCAAAAGGAGTGTTAAATGTACAATATTTGCTGCTTTCTCCTAATCTGATATTCCAAAATCCTGATGAAACATCTAAAGTACTAAAATATTTAGCTCCTGCTAATTTTGATACGATTTCATCGATAGTGGGTAGTTTAAAATGTTCTCGTTTTATAGCCTGATTCAATTCCTTCGGATCTAAACAAATCCTAAGATCACCGTTTGATTTTTTAACCACGGTAATACTGCTCACCCAGTCGGACGGACCCTCAACTTTTTCAATAATACCTTCTATTTCCATTTCTTCTAATTTTTTCCTAACATCCTCTCTGATTGCAAATGGCAACTTTCTAGGCGCGTGAATAACGGGTACCGCATCATCACGCAATTGAATATTATATTCACCCGGCAAACACCCTATACCCTCAAAAACATCCCCAAAATCGGTAATAAATCTCGGTAAACTATCTTCAGTCCTCTGCACTGACAAAACCCTCTTTATTAAATCTAATTCAACGCATGCTTGTCGACCTAAGACAGGAGTACTGGCGACGTCAGCGATTTTAAATTCGAGTAAATATATTATATATATATATGCATGTACAATATTATATATATTTATATTATATATTTGTAAAATATTTTATTAGATCGTATTCCATTTAATTCATTGTATGTTTAATACGAGTACTCTGCTGTTATAATGTTTGATGATAACGAAGTATATTTTTCTGCCAACGACTCTTCAGATAATGATAGCTACAGTTCGCTACCTGATACCTTGGGGGAACAATTACGGCAGTCATTTAACAATCAATCTTTGTTGAATGTATGTCATATAAATGCCCAGAGTGTTCCCAGTCATTTTAATGATTTGACTGTAACTTTCACCGACAGCAACGTTCATGCCGTACTGATTTCAGAGACTTGGCTCAAGCCGCACCTATCTTCTTCTTCTTTTTCACTGACTGACTTTGTACTTATTCGTAATGATCGAATAGAATCAAAAAGAGGCGGTGGGATTGCCATCTACCTCCGTAGCTGTTTACCTTATAAAATCGTCGCCGCTTCTGCTTCCGATCTTTCTACTACCGCTGAATATCTATTCCTTGAAGTTCGTGTCGGAAGATCTAACGTATTACTGGGTGTAGTTTATTGTCCCCCCGTTGTTAGCTACTTCTCCAGTCTGGAAACAGTTCTGGAATCTTTAGGGTCGGAATATGCACATCACATCATTATGGGAGATTTTAATACCGATCTTCTAGCGATTAACTCTCCCCGTACCCGCTATCTCCTTCACATCATCCAATCCACCAGCTTCCACGTCCTCCCCCTTCAAGCAACTCATCATAATATTGAGCACCAGGATACTTGGCTTGACCTAATGCTCACCTCTGCTCCTAACCGGGTCCACTCACATGGTCAACACCCTGCTCCTGGATTTTCCCATCATGACTTGATCTTTCTCTCCTATATCCTAAAACCCCCTAAATCCTGTCCCAAAATTTTGCGTATGCGTAGCTTTAAGCGAATAATTGTCGAAAAACTGTGTTCAGATGCTTCCAAATTAGACTGGACGAACTTGGCAGCGACCCTGACATAGACGACAAGGTCAGGATATTCAACGACGCAGTTCAGAACTTGTATGACGTTCACGCACCTGTTAGACAAGTTAAATTAAAGCGGCCCCCCGCTCCATGGATGACAGAGGAAGTACGAATGGCCATGAGACGGAGAGACCATTGTTTCAAAAAATACAGGAGAAACCGCTGTGAAGAGAAATGGAACCTCTTTAAGACTGCGAGGAATCGGTGCAACCAGGTGATACGTAACGCAAAACGCCGTCATATTCTTCAAAATATAGAAACCTCTTCGTCTTCCAATATGTGGAAGTTTCTTGGTACATTGGGCATTGGCAAACAGCAGCGCCCTGAGGTGAGGATGACAATTGGTCTAGATGATATCAATCGTCACTTCTCGTCCGCACCTCAGCTGGATCATCAAACCAAGAGTCAAACCTTGAACTATATTGCTGGTCTTGCCCGACCCAATATTGAATCCTTTAGCTTTTCTCCGGCATCTTCCGAGGACATCAAAAAGATCATCCTGTCTATACATTCCAATGCTATGGGTTGCGACTGCATCAGCCGTCGCATGATTGTCACTATCTTGGATCAAATTCTTCCTGCAATAGCCCATATCATTAACTTTTCACTCGACTCCGGCAATTTTCCCTCAATCTGGCGTAAGGCTTTCATAATCCCTTTGCCAAAAAAAAATAACCCTTCTCTCCCTGAACACTATCGACCTATTTCCATACTCCCCTTTCTCTTAAAAGTGCTTGAGGCTTGTGTACATAAGCAGCTATCGCAGTTTGTGTACCAGCAGAAGCTCCTTAGCCATTTACAATCTGGATTCAGACCTGGTCATAGCACAATTACCGCTCTCCTAAAAGTGACTGGCGATATTAGGCAGGGTATGGAGGACACCAAAGTCACAGTGCTGGCTTTGATTGATTTCTCGAATGCCTTTAATACCGTCAGTCACGATGTTCTGCTATCCATCCTTTCCTATCTTATGATCTCCTCGGAAGCCCTGGAATAGTTCTCCTCCTATCTTCAGGGACGACAACAGTGTGTTCGTATTGAAGGCTTGTCATCGAGTTGGTGCGACCTTTTCACTGGCGTCCCTCAAGGCGGTATATTATCTCCGTTATTATTTTCAATTTTTATTAATCTCGTTACCCAACACCTTCAATGTGCGTATCACCTGTATGCAGATGACTTGCAAATTTACGCCCAATCGAGAGTTGAAGACATATCACACGCCACTGATAAAGTCAACAAAGATTTGGACTTCATAAGGAGATGGTCGATGAGGTTTGGTTTGTCGGTTAACCCAAGCAAATGTCAAGTGATCGTCATAGGTAGCAAACAGATGTTAAATAGGTTGGACATGACGGCCATACCACCAGTTGTTTTTAACGACATAATCATACCTCTGAGCCCAGTGGTTAAGAACCTAGGGCTACATATTGATTCGACACTTGACTGGAGAGCACAAGTCACCCACGTCAGCCAGCAAGTCACTACATGTCTTCGCGCCTTATATCGTCTCAAGAATTTTCTGCCCACTAAAACCAAGGCTACGCTTATGCAGTCCCTTATTACTCTCTTAATCGATTATGGTGATGTGTGTTATCTTGACCTGAATGCAGACCTCCTCAATAAACTAGACCGACTTCTTAATAACTGCATTCGATTTGCTTTTAATCTTCGCAAGTATGACCATGTGTCTGCTTTACGTTCCCAACTGAAATGGCTCCCGATTCGTCAACGCCGCAGTCTGCGCGCACTAACATATCTTTTTTCATTTCTTAATTCCCCATCGGTACCTGAGTACCTGGTTCCCCATCTCCGCCTCCTTTGCTCCAGTCACGACCGAAATCTTAGATCAACAAATAATATGCTTCTTCTTTGCCCCCCTCACACTTCCAACTTCATCAATTCTTCCTTCTATGTTCAGTCAGTTCTTCTCTGGAATGCGCTCCCAGTTGCAATCAGGATGTCCACTAACCGGTTTACGTTCAAGAAGAAAGTACAAGAACTTCTACAAAATAAGTTGGCAGAAGGGTCACATCGCTAGTACCCGACTATGTGTTTTGATATTTATGTATTTATAAATGTGTATATTCATCTATTGTATGTGTATACTTGAGACCTCTATGTATATATGTAGTGATGAATATAGTATTTTATTTATAGTATTTATAGTAGTAGTGTATATATGTAAGTTAGATTTATCCTACATTAATAAGTTTAATATAAACAAGTCAAATTCTCTGTTTTCTCTTGCACCTACAGCTTCATTTTTCTACATCACCCAAAGGTCGACTGGCAGAGAATGCCTTGGGCATTAAGTCCGCCTTTGTACAACTAGTGCATTAAGTTAAATAAATAAATAAATAAATATAGCTTATTTTTATGATAAACTCTAAGATGTATTTTGCCCAAAACTTTTATCAAAGTACCTGAGTAACCACTCAATTTAGTATTGGTTTGCAACAGCTGATTACAAGATATACCTAGTATCGACAAATGACGTAGCGGTAAAACATTAACATCCGCCCCGGTGTCTAATTTAAAGTTAATTTCACAGTTGTTTATATGTAAATTTACTGTCCAATCATCTAACCCTTTATGTAATGAAAAAATTACCTGTGGATTCGGAGCTCCCACTTCGTAAACACGACACACTTTTGCAAAATGGTTAAGCTTTGAACATCGTAAACACGTTCTACCATAGGCTGGACACGCATTGTATTCATGTATCCTACCACATCTATCACAGACGGGAATAGGCCGTAGTCTGTTTGAGGTACGCGATGCATGGCCGCTGCGTCCACGCGTTTCCCGCCGATCTGAACCTCTGTAAGGTTGGGTGTCGAGAGAGAAATTAAAGATGTTGTTAGATCAACGATCAGATTTATTCTCCAGTAAATACAATAGTGATCACTACTTTTATCTTAAGATAGACATACGTATTATATATGTATTACTACACTACACCTCGATGCTCCGATCCAGAGCGACCGCGTATCGATCGCGAGACGTAACCGCTGCCACTGCCTACCCTCGACGACGAAGGCGTCATATTATTGTATCCGCGACGACCTCTAATCATCCATATATCATTACTTTCCTCGTGTCTATTACTCTCCTCAATTTTATACACCACACTTTCTTTCTTGATATCTTCAGAATACATTCTTGAAACAATCGCCACTCGACATATCTCCACTGCTGTATACAATGTCAGCTTGTCTTCTCTCAACAATCGTTCTCTAATCGCCGAACTAATAACACCGCACACTAACCGGTCTTTTATCAAATCATCTTTTAGATCACCAAATTCGCAGGTCAACGCTAACTTTTTTAATTCAAATACATACTGATCTATTGTTTCACTTTCTTTCTGGTTTCTGATAAAAAATTTATGGCGTTCCACCGTTAAATTTTTCTTTGATCCAAAATGTTCATCCAACTTTTTAAGGACACCCTCCAAAGTAATTTCCTTAAACTGATCTATAATTTCGCGACATTGTTCCCCTACTATATGTAAAAATATGTTTAACTGTATCACAGCTGACTTCTTCTGAAGTTCGCATGCCTCGAAATATATTTGAAAGCCTTTCTTCCACTTTTTCCAGCTATCACTCAATTTCCCTGAAGCTAAATCAATCGATCTTTCATCGAACAGAAATGGTTGCGGCGGCGACAAAACTGTTTCCATCTTCTTTTATTTTAGTTAACAAGTAATATCACGTTCAAATACTTTAGACCACTTCACAGTAACGTTAAAACTTTTTTATTTAAATACCGGCTGCGCCATGTCACAGTCAGCGGTTACATGAATCAAACAAGAGGTATAGACAGAGACTGCTTTATTCCGTTCTCCATATCGGTCGCCTCCAATCATCATTCTTGCCTACCCACATTATAAATATATATTATGACAGAGATAATTTGCCGTTATAATATGAATGTAATTCCTCAAGTGCATAGTTTAGTCTATTAGTAGCAATATCTACATTATTATTTACAGAATATAATACAAGGTCATCAGCAAACTGTAAAATATTTACAAAATCAGTATTTACATATTTACAGATCTCACTGGTATACAAATTGTATAGCAGCGGGGATAAATTTGCCCCTTGCATCGTGCCCTTGGACACAATTCTTGGGCCATGTAATATGTTGTTATGTCTTACATATAGTGGACGGTTAATTAAAAATTGATGCACCCATTTTGCAAATAAACCAGGTATACCTAGATCAGTTAACACCTTAACTAATATTCCAGGATGAACATTATCAAATGCTCCTTTTACATCCAAAAAGACACATACAGCATTTGCTTTATTATTTTTTGCATATTTCAGATCAGATAAAAGGGATAAGAAACTGTCTGCACAGCTCCTGCCCCGTCTGAAACCATATTGAACATGTGGAATGATGCCTTCAGATTCAACAAACCAATCAAGTCTGCTTTTAACAATATTTTCAAAAAATTTACCTATACAAGAAGATAGAGAAATGGGGCGATATGAATCAGCGCTATCTGTCGGTTTATCTGGTTTAAGGACTGGTACAACACACTGAGTTTTCCAAGAGTGAGGAATTATTTGTTTTGACAATAAAGCATTGAATATTTCTAATAAAATATCTAATACAGTTGAATCTAACTTTTTTATTAGAATATATGGAAAATCATCTAAACCTGGACTAGTATTTTTACGAGACTGAAGACTTAACAGAAATTAGAATCTTGAAAAAGGTTCTAACAAAAATTTTGATTTCTCATTATTATTATTAAGATTATAGTACATATCTATATTGTCTACAGTAACTGAGGTATCTGCCGACAATTTATCCATAAAAGAAGCTATAAATTCGTCACTGTATGATATATTTTTGTTTTTATTTATACCTTTAAATCTTTTGATGTAGTTCCAAATTAAACTAATAGGAGTAGTTCTATTAAAGCTTTCCGAAAGCTTTCGCCAAGCACTATTTTTCTCCTCTGCAATAGTTCTTTTTTTTAAAGCATCTTTCTTTTTATACTCAATGTAGTTCTCAATAGTCGGATTTGCTCGATAGTATTTCAAGGCCTCATAAGAGTTGATGACACTCTTCTCACATTTATCATTCCACCAGGGAGCTGGGGGTTTACTCAGAAAAGTTGTATTTCTAGTAAATCTAGGAATACACTCTTGCTTCAGCGTGTTTAAATACTGACAAAAACATTCATAAGAAACCATAGGATTCTCTTTATCCACAGTAAAATCTTTAAATAAAGTTAGAGACATTTGATTGTATTTTTCCCAATCTGCTTTACTATATAAAAATTTATCGATAGGTGAGTTTACTTGATATCTGTCAACTGAGAGACTAATATTGGTTATAGTTGGAAAATGATAACTGCCCATATTATTATCATGTACTGACCACTCACAAAGAGGAGTAATACAAGGACTGGTTAAAGTTACATCTATAGCAGAAGGGCTACGATTAGGATAATTAATCGTTGTAAATGAGCCATCATTTAATATACATAAATCACACTCTTCTATCACATCGAACAATTGAAGGCCTCGTGCCTTAGTAGAAACGCAGCCAAAAGCTATGTGGTGAGCATTAAAATCTCCTGCTACGAATATTGGTTTAGGTAGACCATTTATTATTTTCTTTAATTTAATCATTGGCTGACTGCCAGTAGGAGGACAATAAACACACAAAATAGACATGGTACCAGTATCGATGGAAAGCGATAAGGCAATTGTTTGAACATCTTCATAAAAATCTGTTTCTATTAAAGTATATTTAAAAATAGGTTTTATCAGAATAGCTACACCGCCATGTTCATTCTTTGCATTTTTGTAAAATATATTATAACCAGGGATATTAAAGTGTTGATTGTTTTTAAGCCTTGTTTCATTCAATAAACAAATATCAATATTATTTTCTGTCAAGAATTTAATAAGTAAAGGTTTTTTGTTTTTAACACTTTGAATGTTGTGAAGAGCGATTCTTAACTGTGAAATACGAGAAGATCTGGGATCCATTTATGGTAAATTTTTTAGAAGCATATCTGTGATTGTTGTTGTAGATATGGGAGAGTCATCAACCTTATTAGCCAACTCAATTAATGTCCGAACAATTGCCATGGTTAAGTCATTATTTACAAGTAACTGTGCTTTAACATCAAAAGAAGCAGCTTTCGCTGGGGTGTAAGACTTATTTAAATTTAAAGATTTATTTACACTAGAGTTTCCTTTTTGTACATCTGGTTGGGGAGATTTTAGTTCAGGAAAATCTGATACATTTTGAGTATTTACAACAGTATTTACAACAGAGGAGTAAGTGATTTTGCTTTTCTTCTCTATAATTTTTTTCATTTTTATGGGACAGGCCCTTGAGATGGCCATATGAGGCCCACTGCAGTTAACACAGCAGAGCTCATTTGGCTTCTCACACTCTTTATAATGATGATCACCAGCACAACAGCTGCAGCGCTGTTTGCCACTGCAGATCTTGGCTGAGTGATTGAATTTAAAACATCTATAACACTGCTGCAGAGGAGGAATATAATCAAAAACTCTGTATGAGAACAGGTCATATTGAACATTATCAGGAAGTGTATTTGATAGAAATGTAATGCTTACAGTTTGTAAAGGTACACGTTCCTGTCCTACTTTTTTTAAAAACCGTCTGATTGAAATTATTTCGTAGATCGACGATAGTTTTGAGTACAAGTGCTTGTTTGATATATTCGTTGGAACAAATCGTATGATACCGGTTTTTTCAATATGAGCAGCATATTTGGAATGAATGCTCGCATGGAATTTTTCTCTAAGAATGTCTTATTGTTAATAAAGTTATTGGCCGTATTGAATTGTTTAAATATCACCACAATCTTATTCGCATTTATTCGCCGAATTGCCACTACACCTTTGATTCCACTTGAAAAAATATGGTTCAGAGATATCGGACTTTTGTTGCCCAGTCTCTCGTTTGAAGTTGATTCAACGAACACTTTAAACTCAGTTGAATTCGAATTTTCCGGATATAACCGTTTATAGTCTGGTTTGTAATACGGTAAGAATATATTGTCCTCACCGCCGTCGTTTTTTTCACCGTCTTTCTCGGTGACCCTTTTCCTAGGCCTTTTATTACTCTGGGCCGGGGGATTATCACCCCCGCCCCCATCGATATCCATTTTTACCTCTCTATACTAGATTTTAATTATATACACTCAACTATATACACTAAATTACAATGGAAAAAAAAAATTTGCAAATTTGTTTAAAATTTTCCGCCCTTTCAGTTCAAATTCCCGCCTAGAATCCGGGAAATGGATATGTTTCGGTTTAGTGTTGTTAAATTTAAAAAAAATCCATGACTACAAATGAGGCGTTTAAATAGTGGTCACATATTTTAGATATTTCATTATTTAATTTTTTTTCTTTAATACATCTATTAAATAAGGGCTCACATATTAATATATTAGTGTTTTGGTAAGATTCAATCCATAGTACTAATTGATTACAGATAGCCGAAATACTATTATCCTCTGTGAAACCTATCACAATCACAAAATCATTCATTGTCAGGTTTGATATTTCAGTCATACATGAGTTCAGTATATCAGAGAGTTTGCCAAAAGGTTTCACGAAGCAAAATACATTATATTTATCTCCCAGAAGCTGGGTAAGGACTTTCCGAATCCCGCGACCCTGTTGATCTGCAAGAACAATTACTTTGCGTTTAGTTTTATTTGTGCCAGTTAAGGCGGTAAATTCCATTTTTTTCATCTCATTTTTTCTTATTATTGATTGGTCAGTACTTTCGTTCAGCATAGTGTTATCCGTGAGCGACTCTTTAGTGAATGTTCTAGAGAACTGGTTGTTTATATCGGTGTTGATATCATCATACGACCCATTTTCTGTCTGTATGGTTTCCAGTTTATTCATAAATTTTTTATTTTGAGTTTTTAATATCGAAATTATATGAGTTAAATAATTTATTTTTCTTCGTCGCTTTTTGATTTGTTGTTTACATGTTTTAAATGAGAAAGGCTTTCCAAGATGTTTCGTCATAGAAATTCCTGTTGTTTGCGTTGAAATTTAATTGTTTCTGGAATGCTGTGCCTAGGTGATACTGGATATACACCGGAAAATACTTTTTTTACCTTTCGTATAACCGGAGTAGAAACAGCATTCAACAAGTTTTCCGTAATGCCAACCATCTTATACAATGCTATCACTTTTGATGATTTTTCAACACTCATCTTTAATTGTATATTTTGTAAATTCAAATTTTCAATCTCTTCATCAGCTGAAGCTAACCTTAATTTTAATGTAGAAATAATTTCTTCGTATTCTTCAAGTAAAGTATAATCCTTTTTTGAAGTGGCAGGTAAACTGTTCACTGATGAATCTAGCAATGAACTATTTTCAATATCTACAGCTGTCTCCTCTGTCAAGCTAACATTTAATTTTGGAGTTTGTTTTTTTCTATAGGTGATATTACAATATTGATCCCCATCCATATTGGAGGGTAACGAAATATATTGTTGTTATTATACTCACGTGGCATAGGTAAGCCAGGTGATACCGATGGAGTCCAGTTGTGTTAAATATATACTCATATTTCACCGTTTGGCTTCGTGTGTGTACTCGTTTTATCTATTCAAGTCGCAGATATGTGTGGCCTGGTAGTACTTTCTTTTTGTAGTTTATTAAGAGACAATGTCAATAAACCTCACAAAAAGTGAAATCACTCACAGTAGTGGTTCGAACCGACAAGCATTAAGTGCACCTCGACGGCCGCCCTGTTACCCAGCTAGCTGCGTAAACATTAATTCTTCATAGCGAATTTTAGATTCATTAGATAATGTTAGTGATTTCTGAGGACGGCGAAACGGTTACTATGACTCACCGTTAAGGATTGTTTTCCGCATTCCAATCAACTTTGTACACAAATGTTAGGACCAAATATGTCGTTGTTCAATGTTAAAATATCACTGTTTATATAGTTTTCAACTAGATTACCATACTTTTATTGTTTAGTTTGTTTATTTGATATATTTATTCACAAATTAGTTGAAATCGACTGTCAATGATTTAGCACTGTTTTATAGTGTACAGTCTGATAACGTTATCACACATTTCACTTGATATTAGATATTAGAAGCGATGTAACGGTATTTTTTTCACGATTTAAGCACTAAAAATAGTTTAAATTAAATTATTTACACAGATCACTTTTGGACAGAACTATGGTGAGCAGCGCCACCTGGTGGATCCCACCTGGTGGATATTTTTTGGAATTATTCCTTTATTTGTGCTTTAAGACGTTTCTTTTTGCCAAATTTCGTGATTCTAGGTCAACGGGAACTATTTAGTAATTTTGGTTAAAAGCAAGGTCTTACAGCACAAGTAAAGAGAAAAGTCTAAAAATTAAAAAAGTTGAAAATTAAGGTAAATTTTGTTACTTACAAGTTTTCGCGAAAATCGAAATTTGCCCATGTCTTTTTATCGTGTTGATGTGTTCTTGATTTTTATACACCTAATAGGGACCATAGACCTCAGTATCTGGTATAAATTTTAACTTGCTAGGTCTACCCGTTCCTGAGAAAATCAGGAACGGGACAGACGGACAAGAAAGTGATGTTATAAGGGTTTCTTTTTTACCTTTTGAGATACGGAAACCTAAAAATACAAAACAAAATACTGACAATATGCTAACAAACATGGAAAAATAAAACGGTTTGAAACAAAGACATTCAATACTAGGTCTATTCGTTTTTAGTTTAGGATATTAACGTTGCCATTCTTGATTTAGCTGAGGACAAAGAACCTCTAAATATGTCAAACTGAGATCTGATACCATTATAACTTTTACACTTGCGATATAAAGCTGAATGCTGTCCAATATTTGTACGATATCGTGGTAAGAAAAATACTTTCCTATTGTGAAGACGACTGCCGGTTCGTTGAACTTGAACTTTGATGGTGGCTAGGAACTCAGGACAATCTACCAATCCATGTATAAATTTAAAAAGCAGGACAATATCACATGATTTTCTTCGTGCACTTAGGGATTTCATTTTAGAAAAGTTCAGTCTAGATTCGTAAGATTTCCTAGCATTTATTATCGATTATTGAGAGTTAATACAAAACTCTTTTCTGAATACATTCAATTCTATTTGAGTGCACACAGTGACTGGGATTTCACACCGGACTGCAATATTCCAGAATACTACGGATTATGCAATTATAAACTGGTAAAATTACGTTAACGAAACCTGACGTCTTAGAAGCTTTTTCACTATCTCGTCTATATGAATTCTAAAACTCAGTGAGCTATCCAAAGTAACACCTAAATCTCGCATATTGGTGACCTCGATCAAAGTTTTGTTTATAGAATATGCGGCGTTCCTTCGCATTCGTATTCATCAGCATAAATTTTGAAATTGCACCTAATAGAATTCGCTAAATCATTTATAAAAATCAAAAAGAACAGCGGACAAATATGCAATCCTTGGGGTACACCTGAAGGGTCTTTTGTTTGACAAGTGTAAGCGTTTATTAAACCAATCAACAAGCGGCGGTAGCCTAGTGGTTAAGGCATTGGACTTGCGATCAAGAGGTCGTGGGTTCGAATCCTGACCAGTACCTACCGACGTGAACCCACTCCTAATACAAGCAATTTAGCTTAGCTGGAGGGGTTAATGGGAATACTAGTAATTTCGGTTGCTAGTAAGCCTTTTACAAAAAAAATTGTGATCTATTTTTTAAGTAGGATTCACACCAGCGCAACAATGATCCAATATACTCATGCTCTAAATCTTGTCTAGTAATAAATCATTATTTATGAGATCAAACGCTTTGCTGAAATCTTAGTAAATCGAGTGTACTTCATTTCCATTGTCTAATGCTCGTGCAATATCATCGGTAAAACTAATTAGATTAGTGCGTGTAGACTTTCGTAGTATGAAACCGTACTGTTCTGGATGTAGGTATTCTTTGACGTGACAGTAAATCTTTTTTTGGATGATTGACGAATATCTTCCCCATAAATAATAAAAAAAAAAGCCTTTTATTTCTTACTAAAATTACAGTTACAATTAATCTTCAAACTATTAAATTAACTGCTACTACTATTATTTTATCTAATTTTATACAGTAATATGTGCGCTAACTAAGTAGTAAGAACCCCTCTTAATCGAAGGTGAAGGCCTCCTTTAGAGATTTCCAAGCGTCCCTGTCGGTTGCTGTGTCCATCCAACGATCGCCGGCCACTTGAGTTATGTCATCTGTCCACCGGGCAACTGGTCTGCCCCTCTTCCTAGAGCCTGCTGGTCCTACCCAAGACGTCAATCCTTTCGTCCATCTGCTATCTGTCAGCCGCGTTGTGTGGCCGGCCCAGCGCCACTTTTATTTTTTGCAGTGACATAGAACATCAACAACCTTAGTCTTTTTCCTAATAGTTTTATTTGGTACTTTTTGTATCTTCTTCAAGTGCTTCTTTCCATCTCGCTTTTGCATGAACTAATTTTGTTTTTAGCTTTTATAGTGAACTTCCAAGTTTGACTGCCGTAAGTTAGTGATGGGAGAATACAGGTATCCATGACTTTTTGTTAAATTCTAATTGGCATTTCACTTTTTAAAACTTCTTTCAGGCTCCAAAATTTCTTCCATGTGTTTGCAATTCTTCTTTCTATTTCATGGTAATTTCTTTGCTTGTCGAGTGATATCTACTTCCCCAGGTAAATATAAGTGTCGACATATTCTAACTTTTCATTTTCTAGGTATATTGGGTTCTTGATGTTATTTGTCATGATATTTGTTTTATTGCGATTTATTTCTAGACCAACCTGTAGACTAGCTGTGTGGAGGGCGTTAATCATTGACTGTAGTTGTCTTGTACTTTCAGAAAATAGGACGATATCGTCTGCGAATCTTAAGTGGCTTATATACTCGTTGTTTATGTTTAAACCAACTCTTTCCCAGGTAAGCTTCTCGATCACGTATTGTAGTACTGCTATGAAAATTGTTGGGGAAATAGGATCACCCTGTCTAACCCCTCTTTTGATGGGTATAGGGGGAACAGGTATTTGGTATAGATGTTGTAGAACCTTTAGATATTCAGTTTCAATATTTTGTGATTGTGAAGCTTCCCAAATAGAGTGATGATACAAAGTATCGAAAGCTTTTTGGTAGTCGATGAACGCTAAGTAGAGCGGTCTCTTGAACTCTTGGTATTTTTATATAATCATTTCGATAGAGTGGATATGGTCCATGGTAGAAAATCCTCTCCGGAATCCGGGATGTTCTATAAGTTGATGTTTTTCTATGGTACTTCTAATTCTTTTTTCTAAAATTGATGAGAATAATTTGTAAATGGATGGCAGCAGGCTTTTAGGTCGGTAATTACTTATATTGTGCGGGTCTACCTTCTTGTATAATAAGATAATGTCTGATTCAGCCCATTGTTTTGGTATAGTTACGGTTCTTATTACTAAGTTAAATAACTGTGTTAAAGGGCCTGCTAAGTGTTGACATGCAATTTTCAGGGTTTCGTTAGTTATTTTGTCTGGTCCCGGGCAACATTTCTATAGAAATTAGTAGCAACTTGAATTATTTCTTTTCTATGACAAGTTCTTTTGTTTGAAGCTTCTAGGCCTTCGATCCAGTTCGTATGTGTTCTTAATTCTCTAATGGCTCTCTTTAAACTTCCGGACTGAGTTATATGTTTTTCAATAGTATTCCTACGGTGAGATTTGTAGTCTAGATTAATACGTTTGCTAATAAGTTTGTAGAGAGCTTTTAACTCATTTTTCATACTCCTTGTTTTAGTTTCATTTTTTGTAAATATTGTCGTCTTAACATCATTTTTTTAGTATTCGGTGAAATAACAGAAATGTTGTTATTTTGCTGTGAGGTTGTTTTAGCTTTTTTGAGGCTATTATTTATAGCAGAAATAATTTCATCGTGAAAGTTTTGCACTGTATATATTTCTTGTCGAGTATGTAGGTATTCTAAGTCGTCGCAAAGTGATTTTTTGTATGTTTGTATTTCAATTTCATTGTTTTTAAAGTACTTTTTACGTTATTCTCATAGGTTTTTCTACTTTTCTTTGAAGACTGCATATTCAGCGTGGCTCTCACCATTCTATCTGAATCCCTTACTGCGCCAGCGCGACGACTACATTACCTGGCTAGAATGTTTGCTAAGGACTACAACTACGAACACTGCTGGACATCCTTTGGCAAAGTGTATCTGAAACGTAGGTCGAATGAGACCCGCCTTCGCATAAGCTGCGAAGAAGACATCGAAAAGCTGAAGAAAACCAAGTGACTAGTTAAGTTTTTCCTCTTTAACATTACTGTAATTAACTTTATTGCATGCAAAGTACTTCCATATCTTTACTCTTATTGTTCTTATACTGCCATTTATTTTAAAAGTATTATAACCTACCTAACTCGGACACATGCAAACATACATACATATAAACACTATGAAAACATATACAAAACAAATACAG